TGAACATCTTAAAATTTGCTTAAATCTAGTGCTTAAGGCCATAATGGAAGGGAAAAAATGAAAAATTAAATGTTTTAATTTAAAAAAAAATTAAATGTACCTGTTACATTCTAGACTCAAGTAATAGTTGTAATTAACTAGCCAGCTATAGGTCAAAACTAAGCCCTTAAAAGCTTGATTTTAAATGTAGGTATGTTTAGAAATAAAGAGCATGCTGGAAGCTATTTCATTTTTCAGGAAACATGGTTTTCTCTGATTCAAAACAAATGATCCATTAGCAAAAATAATCATTTGGGAAACTAAATTTTGTGACAAATGTAGCCACTTTGTTTAATTATAAACGGAAACAGTCTTTCAATAATGTTAAAGAATCTATAAAAACTTAAAATATACTCATCCTAAACTCTGCTGATTACTTATAATTTTTTTCTATAAATATTTTTCAGATTCACTAAGCATTCCCCTGCAATGAATATCCACTAACTCAATGAACTTCCACAAATTACTTTCTGGTAAGATCTTTTTTATGCATAATCAAAATTGTTTGCTTTTATTTTAAATTCTGTGATAACAATGAGACATCAGAAATCTATTTACATACCAAGCAATTCTATCCCACCTATTCATTTGGTGATTTTGTGTGAATACATACCACAAATAATAGATTTATTCATGAAAACTGGTATTCAAATCAAATTATACTTTAAATGTAGTCAATTATTGTTATTTGAGACAGTCATGTTCTATAAACTCACCACAAACACCGAATTAATGAATACTGAATCACTGCTACTAGGAGAAACAGAGTTAGGTTCCTACAAGTCTCTGGTGACAAAATTTTCACCAACCGATCAATACATGACCTCATTTTATGGTGTTTCTGTTTAAAGGCACCTTATTTAATACATGCTGTTGATTCACTAATGTTGAACTCAGGGCCAAGAACACTATAACTCACACCTAAGCAAAGCTTACCTAACACACACACCTTGTGTGTAAGGTACATCAAAGCCTTCCTGCACGTAGGAACACTAGACAACATTTCAGTGGGGCCATTTTAAACAGCAAAATCACCAAAAAGAAAAAGCACAAAAATACAAAAAAAGCACACTACACTAAATAGAGCACAAAGAGGATACTTGCTTACAGTTTGAGAGCTGAAAACAAGAAGGCAGAGTGTCACCTTGTTGGACCACAAATGGAACCATGCTCGTCAGGCAACTAAAATTTTTTGCCACTCTGTCTTATGTCCACAAATGAAAGCAATGTGAGTACTGATTTGGGAGTTACAAATAAATTTCAGAGACCAGGCAAATTCAGAAATGTGGCATCTGTGAATAATGAGGATTGACTATACAAGGAAAGGCCAATTAAATAAATCTAATGGGAAATATTTCAGTTCTTCAATCCAGTGAATTTTATAAACATGAAGGTTTACAACACATACTGGTTATCAGGAATGGGCAAAACTTTATGGCATTGTTTTTAAAATCATCACACAAAAAATCCCATTAAAGCATTCTTCTAAAGTTTTGTGAGTTTTTTTGTTTGTTTTCTTTTTTCTTTTTTTTTTTTTTTTCTGGTAGAGAGGGGATCTCACTATTGCACAGGCTGGTCTCAAACTCCTGCCCTCAAGTTATCCTCCCACCTCAGCCTTCCACAGTGCTAGGATTACAGGTGTGAGCCACCGTGCCCAGCCTAAAGTTTCAAAGAGGAAGAGTAAAGATGGAAAATTTATTTAAAATTTACTGCCCATCCTTTGAAAAGTATCATAGGGAGAAAACACTACAGAAAGATATCAAAATTGTTTGTAGCCTTAACATAATTTCTTCTGAGCTATCTGCTTTTAACCATCTTTTTGGCGAAAAATCAGTTATGTTTACCCATTACCATTACACATTAAAAAGTTCAAAAGGATAAAAGTACTCTGCAGTATTAAAACAATTAAGATATAAGATGCAGGCCGGGCACTGTGGCTCACACCTGTAATCCTAGCACTCTGGGAGGCCAAGGAGGGCAGATTGTTTGAGCTCAGGAATTCGAGACCAGCCTCAGCAAGAGCAAGACCCCCGTCTCTACTAAAAATAGAAAGAAATTAGTTGGACAACTAAAAATATATAGAAAAATGAGCCAGGCATGGTGGCGCATGCCTGTAGTCTCAGCTACTCGGGAAGCTGAGGCAGAAGGATCGCTTGAGCCCAGGAGTTTGAGGTTGCTGTGAGCTAGGCTGACGCCACGGCACTCTAGCCCGGGCAACAGAGTAAGACTCTGTCTCAAAAAAAAAAAAAAAAAAAAAAAGATATAAGATGTAAATTACAATGTATTAAGTTAAGCTACAATGCCCACACAGGCATGAAACAATGAAAATACAGTGTAGAAAATTAGAAATGAAAACCTAACACACATATTCAACAAAGAACCCCAGTAAAATAAAATTTAAGTTAAAATTTTCTGAACATTAGCCAATATAGCCAAAATGTGTATCCAGTTTGCCATTTCTACTCTCCATGACAAAATTTATATATGTATATAAATAGCATTTAATCACACTGACACTTGAAATTTGTATTAGTGAAAATGAAAACAGCAAATAGGTTAACTATTAAGACCAGGAGAAAATCTGAAAGCTCATAATCAAATAAAATAAAAGCCACTGACATTTTCTCCTTTTAAATTTCAGATGATATTCATTGCAGCACGTTTTTGACAGTAAAAACTAGAAAAATTTGTCTTTCAGTAAAAGACTCATTTAAATCATGGAATAGTATATAGTCTTTAATAAGAAACGAGCTAGGCTCTGTCTATATATATATATACATGTACACATATGTACACATACAGACCATATATAGAGATATAGATGGATATACATATGGCCTTTAATTTAAAATGGGAGATAGATATACATCAGACAATGAACGATATTTATAATATATTATTACAGGGAAAAAAGGCAAGTTACACAATACTGTGTATGACTCCTGTGAAAAATATGAAACATAAATTGCTTATGTTTATATATGCATATACATTAAATGGCTAACAAAGAAGGAACTTTAGCAATCTCATATTTTACAATGAGCACGTGTAAGGGTTATAAGTATACAGTAGGTTCCCAACAAGTGTTGTCTTTTCTTATTATGGCCATATAAAGAAAAAATAATGTGATATGAAATTCATGTTGTTTGAAAGTGACTTCTATAATCTTCATTTATTCAGGTAAATTCTGCTAAATATAATCAAAAACAAATACTTCACAGTTCAAAGATAGAATTTCAGTAAATGTTCTCAAAATATTCTAAAAAATTCCCCCAAAATGTCCTCAACATTCATCAATCCCCAAAACTGAAATGTTTAATGATTTGTAACAGGGATTCAAAAGATTCTTCTGTAAGGGCAAATAATTTTAGGCTTTGCAGGCACACATGGTCTATGTTACATATTCTGTGTTTTTTCTTTTTTTTTTTTAAAACTCCTTAAGAATATTTTTTAAATGTCTTAGCTTAGAGCCTCACAAAAACAGGCCACAGGTTGGATTTTGTTAGCCAACCAGTCTGCCAACCATTGATTTATAACAACAAACCAGCATCTAGAAGTCAGCTATTTTATTGTATCATATTGTATTTATTTTTTAGAGACATGTTCTTGCTTTGTCACCCAGGCTGGAGTGCAGTGACCCAATCATAGCTCACTGTAACCTCAAACTCCTGGGCTCAGGTGATGTTCCACCTCGGCCTCCCGAGTAGCTAGGAATACAGGTGCACGCCACCACACCTGACTAATGTTTTCTATTTTTTGTAGACAGTGTCTCACTGTGTCGCCTAGTCTGGTCTCAAACTCCTGGCTTCAATCGATCTTCCCACGTTGGCCTCCCAAAGTGCTAGGATGTGAGCCACCACACCCCCTCAGAAGTCTGCTATTTTAAATATATTATACCAAAGGCATCAGAGGTCACAAAAGGGGCAGTTTTATTCTACATTAAATAAATAAAGGTAGCATTATAGCAATTAAAATTATAAGTTGATTAATATATTGAATTCCATATACTAGACAAACTGATCAAATGATGGGAAAACACAATAAATGAAATTTCAAACACTCATATAATTATGATCAAATGTGTGTGAGGGGGTGTGTACGTGTGTGAGTGGTGTGCCTGCAAAGAACACATATTTGAAAAAATCAGCTGAAATTTAAATACTACACATCAAAGCTCAAATGTCCTTTCATGATAATTAAAACCATTCACTGATTTAAATAATCAAAACCAGTCATTTGTTTTGGTTGTCTCAACTGCTGAAAACTAAGAACTGAATTCAAAAACTGGTAGTGATTTATTTGGTTTTAATTTTTTAATTTATGGCCAGGCATGGTGGCTCACACCTGTAATCCTAGCACTCAGGGAGGCCGAGGCAGGAGGATCACTTGAGGTCAGGAATTCAAGACCAGCCTGAGCAAGAGCAAGACCCCGTCTCTACTAAAAAAAAAATAGAAAAAAAATTAGCCGGGCAACTCAAAATAGAAAAAATTAGCCAGGCGTGGTGGTGTGCGCCTGTAGTCTCAGCTACTCGGAGGCTGAGGCAGGAGGATCGCTTGAGCCCAGGGGTTTGAGGTTGCTGTCAGCTAGGCTGATGTCACGGGACTCTACCCAGGGCGACAGAGTGAAACTGTCTCAAAAAATAAAAAATAAAATTTTTAATTCATAAGAGTTATTGTAAAATATTAATCAACAATCTAAAATACTGTTTAAAAGTTTATATCCTTGAAACTTTTTAATATTTACTGTGTCAGTAACCATCACTATACCACCTTTTTCCTTCTGTCTAAATTACAGCTTTTATATATTTGATTTTATCCAAATTTAAAAGATCCTTATTATCATCTGGATGTTACTACCAAATGGAAATTTCATTATAAATAATAAACTGGGTCAAATTAAAAGTCTAAAATGAAAATTTGCCCTGCAAAAGTAATCATATACCATTATATAATAATCTTACCTAGACTGGTGGGTTTTATCAGTTCATCCAATAAATCATAAAATGGTAATTTTTGAAGTTTTATATCCGGATGGACCGGGTGAAGAGCTGATGTAAGATGTGGGAGTTCCAGTTCATGTTTAGGTCCCAGAAGAGAAACAGGGAGTAACGGTGATGATGCAGGGTGACCATCATAAGTGAGTTGTGGAATGGTAGATGGAGACAAAGTTGCTGGCATAGGACTTGAATGTACGTTGGGGATGGACAAGTCTGCAGGCGTCATGATTTTCTGCGGGAACCGCCGCCTATAGAGTTCTTTAATTTTCATTTGTACAGCAGGACTACAGCCAGCCTTTAGCAAATGCAGGGCTTTTGTGAGAAGTTCGTGTTTGCGTCCGTGCTTGTTTCTCCCAGCGTAGCCCAACAGTACTTGGAGTTCAGAAACTCTAAGGCTCATAACCATTTGCTTAGAGAAAAAACAAAATGTAAAACATTAGTATTCCAATAATATAATTTATATTATTAAACAACACTTTATTATAATCCCTCTCCTTACGGTTTATTTAAAGGCCAGCTCATTTATAATCCTAATTATTTCAAACTTAAAATTTAAGTAACCAAAGAAACTTAAAAGTAATATTCATAAATTCATTGACTTCTACCCAGGGTTATGAAACATACATAATAAAGTATACACCAGGTAGAACCACATCTTACTTTATTCCACTGTTTTGACGAAACCGCTATCAGGTATTTATCAAGCACTTACTGAGTCTCCAGGAGAGCTGCCAAGTGCTATGTGGATAGGAAAAGATAATACTGTGCCCTCAAGAACCTTTTGTTTTCTTGGAGAAAAATTATAAGTGTATGTGAAACAAATAACCAGTCCACCTCAAACATCAGATGTAGGTAGGATATCAATAACCTATTATCAAGTATTACATTCTATATTAACTCTGGAAATTGTAGAACTTAAACTATACCTTTTTTGACCCATTGTATACCAGATACTACATTTGATATTTTTTATGGGTTGTCACAATCTGTACAACTTCACAAAATGTTATTCTTCCTGATTTACATGAGGAAACGAGATCAGAAAGGTCAAATAACTTACCTAAAGCCATATAGCTACTAAATAACAGTCAGAATTCAAACCCAGATATGTCTGATTCTAAAGCCCATTCTCTATCCACTAAACCATGAGGAAAAAAAAAGAGCTGGACACACATTCCTGACTCTCAGTCCACTTGCAAGGCAGGCTAAAAGTCCAGGAATTCAATCCACATGCCATAATGTGTGAGGCTGCAGTAAAGAAATGCATTTAACTTTGTTTAATCTTGTGTTCACAAACTTATCTGGTCACTGTTTCTCCTTTTGCCCTCATCTACTAAGAGGCTACCAACAGGAAATGCCCATCTATACCAATGCTCCCATCTTAAAGTGGCAGAAAATGGAATCCAGAGAAAAGAAATGATTTACCCAAGATCACACAGCTATTTTTTTTTTTTTCTGAGACAGAGTCTCGCTTTGTTGTCCGAGCTAAAGTGAGTGCCGTGGCATCAGCCTAGCTCATAGCAACCTCAAACTCCTGGGCTCAAGCAATCCTCCTGCCTCAGCCTCCCGTAGCTGGGACTACAGGCATGCACCACCATGCCAGGCTAATTATTTTTATATATATACATATATTTTTAGTTGTCCAACTAATTTCTTTCTATTTTTTTTTAGTAGAGGCGGGGTCTCGCTCTTGCTCAGGCTGGTCTCCAACTCCTCAGCGCAAATGATCTGCCCGCCTCAGCCTCCCAAAGTGCTAGGATTACAGGTATGAGCAACCGCGCCCGGCTGATCACACAGCTATTAACAGCAGAATCCTAAAAAACTTCACCACCGCTGACAGGGTAATGTTAGGATGCAAAGACACATGTCTTTCCATATGTAAGCTTACCATTTGGCTCTCCATTTCCCCAACTGATTCCCTCACCTCATACCGAATACCAATACACAAAAGCTACGCTACCTTCCCTAGCCAATCCTCTAGAAGTTCTTTTCAGGTAACAAAACAATTAAATAAATATTATTTTAAAAAATAAAATAGAAGAAAAATGTACAAAGAACTTTATAAGCAATACAGTTGGTTAATCAAAGAAATATGAGCCCTTCCCCCTACTTCTCTGGCATGGAAAATTCTTTGTTTCCCCAAGGTCCAGCTTTTGTCAGCCTTTGCCCATTAGACCTGGTAGAACTATTTCTACTCTATTTTTTTTGGCCATTTTCTTATCTGTATTGTAGCACTTATCCTACTATATTATAATTTTCTATTTATACAAGTGATTCTATCACTAGACTGAGGTTCTCTAGGGCTGCAGTTCCCAACATGTTAGGAACCAAACCGCACATTCCACTCCCTCCTTCCCTCCCCTCCCTCCCCCGTGGAAAAATTGTCTTCCATGAAACTTAGGAACCAGGCCATGCAGGAGGTGAGCAGCGGGCCAGAGAGCAAGCAAAGCTTCATCTGTATTTACAGCCACTCCCCATCACTTGCATCACCACCTGAGCTACAACACACACACACACACACACACACAC